AGCTTGGAACAGTATAAACTATCTCGTAATTTTATTGTATCATTTATTTGAAAAAGTTGTTTTCAAAATACATGTAAATAAAAAATAAATGCTTCCTAGTGCCATATAGAATATGCGTTTATGTAGTCATGTTACATATTGCAATCGTCATTGTTAACGAATTTTTTCCCACAAGGAAAACGAGATAATAGAAATTAATTTTGAGGCCACTATTTTACCAATACGCTATCAGGTCGACAGCAAAAGAGTGCATAGAAAATATACATACAGTTGTAGAAACATATATTATTTTGTAAAATAAATTTACAAAATTAATATGAGGTATCTCATTATTGTAAATTTACAAAATTAATGTGAGGTATCTCATTGTTATAAATTTATAAATTAGTAGGTTTAAAAAAGTCTTGTAATAGTGATGGGACGCTCTCTTATGCTGTCCTGTTAGTACATAAATAACGAATTTTGTTATATATACGAAAATAGATAAATGTTTATAAATTACTCATAATTAAAGTTATATATCCTAGCACATATACATATATTTGTAATTTCTACAGAATTTCTACTCTCATCGTTTGGTTTTCTTGCATTCTATCTAAATTGACAGTATTAAGTTGCGTCTTTACTTTCATATCCCCTTTTCTTTCTGTATTCATTTCATATTTCGCTTATTCACACGTTAAATTGCTCCATTTAAGGAATATATTCTGTTTACATGCAATCTGAGAGCATTATTCACGTATACAAATAAAAGTTAAAAGCAGATTCGTGATGACTAGAATATCTTTACATTTCATACATTCGTTCTTTTTATACTTATGTGCAATAGTCCATAATAAAAAACATAGATATCTTAAATTGTAATATATAACTTTGGTTCATAGCAATCCCTCGATGATTTCGTTAAAAAGAGGAGAGATGAGAAAGTAATTCGCATTCTACGATCTCCGTTAGATGCAAAAGTTGTAAGTAGTGTAATTTAAATTACATCATGTCCAAATTAAAGCTTATCATTAGGAAATACAGGCATTAGATATACTGTAATGTACCCATCCTGTTAGTAACATTATTGTTACTATTTCAATATACAAATTCTATAATTAAATTTATTCAATTTCACCTAAATTTGACCTAAAATTATAAATGATGTGCCTTATATAAAAGATGCGTGCAAAATCGAAATAAAAATGACAAATATTAGATACTACATTACTGTTGATAATCAATTTTGAAATATGAAAGAACAAACGCGTACAATAAGTACCTGGAAACTTGTAAGATAAGTGCACTACTTACAAAAAATGCAATTTATATATTATAATACATAAACTGTGTATTATAATACATAATTGTAGTATATTATTATGCTTAACTAATGCATTATTATACATATGCAAGAGTATACACATACATATAAAAAATTTAAACTATCTTAAATTGCAATAAATGAAGATAAGATGCTAGATTAATCATTTAAGACGTATACTTGTAATTTAGAAGATATTCTAGCAATTTATTTTCGTAATTTTTGAAATTAGATATATAAATATATATTTTACTGCTAAATAATTTTATATAATTACTATATGTATAAATAATTATATATGTAATTAGTTAGCAATTATACTTTATTTCATATGCATCACACAAACAAATCAAACAAAAAAACAGACATTAGCTGCAGCAATTAATAAAATGATTTCATGATAAGACCTATTGGCGCATAAAGATTTCAAGAATAAATTAAAAGATATAAACTTGACCAAAATTTCGAGTATGCTTCTATGCTACATTATGTACACATAAGCTGTAATATGCCTTTTGCTTTTTATAGCATTTTGAGACTAGAACAGCCGAAACGATCACTGATCGCTAAGCTTTTTTATGCAACTGTAAAATTTATTTTTGCAAACTAATTAATATTAATGATGGAAATTGTAATAGCAAAATCTATGCTTTTCATTGCTTCATTAAATTATTTATTTTCCTTTAAAAATAAGATGTAAAATTATTCTTTTAAATAATTATCCATTCTTAGTCACTCTGATATTAAATGTGTTTCTTTCGATTCAATTTCAAAATATTATGAATTATTTGGAATTTGTTTCAAATGTAAAGTTTAATTTCATGTTTGATATATTTAATGTACAAATGGAAAGTATATGGCACAAAGGTCCTATCTTTTCTATATCCTAAGTTTTTAAATATAAAAAAATAGTATGATCACAAGGATAATATCCATTTTATTGGTTTTATTAGTTATCATTGAGTTTTTAGAGAGCATTTATATCTGTATCGATTAAAACCCGATTTTTTTTTAGTAAAACATAAATGAAAAAAAAACCTATTTAAAAAAGTACAATCGCAATTAATCGATTAATAAGATAATGAATTAGAGACAATGATATGAGCTTAACTTTATAGCAATACTTATTTGTACAAGATATCTATCTTTCTAAATCATCGTATCAGTTTTCCATAATTTTTACATAAACAAATTTCATACAAATAAATGGAAGAGAGTGAGATATACTATAGTATTTAAGAAAATACATTGTGCTATATTTATATATTTCAATTTAGGTGGACTTTGCATTACCGTATTTGTTATCAGCATTTTGTTATTATCAACTGTTATACATTTCTTTTGATTATTATTTTTATAAAGAATATTCAGAGTATGAGAATTCAAATAATATTAATAAATCAAATTGCATCAATGCAAAAACTTGTATAATATTAAAACCCCGTTACAAGCACAAACAGAAAATTAATAAAATAAAAAATTATATTAAACTCCTGCAATACACATATAAAATCATACTAAGATATTTTTCGTTTTTAATTTATCAAAATGAAATAAATATTAATACACATACGCAATACATTTTAGGTAGCGCAGCGTGACTACTTTATAATTTCAAAGTGTTAGTCCGACCGTCTATCCATCTATCCCTTCGTCTGTCTGCAAAATTTCTAAAAAATAGCTTAACTTGTTCAAACTTCATTTTCGGCAATAGATACCTGATACAAAGAATTTTAGCTCCACCGAGGCAAAATATGAGTCCATAAAAGGGTCAAAGATCAAAGTCAATCAGATTTTTTAGTAATATAGGGCAAACATCAAACGATTTAATTTTTTCAAATCCTGGTTTTTCGCTGCACTACTTCGTTACATCCGTTACAACGGTTTATTACTCTTTTTAACACACAGACATGTTACAATTCTAAATAACAAATGTTTCGTGTGCATCGCTATCAAATTCAATTGTGTAATTATTACATAAGATTATCGATTTTTCTTTCTCTAATAATATTAGGAATACTATGAAATTTTCGTGTTAGTTTATGGCAGTATTCTGTATGCATACCATACATTTCTTATTGGAAGTATTAATAAAAATAAAAATGCCCGAAAATGGAAAGACAAATATGCTGCTTCTAAAGAATCATTACACATTCCAATTTTTCTAATTTTTTTTTTAAATATCTGTATTTGTTAGTAAAATATATATATTGTTTAAAACTGATTGATTAAAAGTGCTTGTAAAATTTGATTTTTTGTTGCTATGGCACTGCATATTTAAATGATTCTACAATGCTAGTTTTACATCTCGTAAAACTTTTCAGCATATGATTGTTATGACAGCTACCTCGATTCATATGTACTAAAATCAATGTTCCTATTGTAAATGTAAAAAAGTCAAAAATCTGGCAGCCCTAATAAGTAAAGCTTCGGTACTTAATGCTTTTAATCATCACAGCACATTTACACTGTATTCGATTTGCAGGACTGCAATATTAACAGAAATTCTCTTATAGAAAAAAAAAATGTTATGAGCGGTTTTCCACTAAACTATTGACTGTACGTTACTATGGTCACATATTCTTTTTATCATTATGCAAATATATGTAAATGCAAGTTTAAAGAAAGACATCTGCAAGCTTGTAACTTGTAAACTTCCTCCCCTGCAAATGCTGCTAAGTATTTATTCTATCCTTCTTTTTTCTTCTTACTTTCTCGTTGTCTAAACTTTCTGGTCATGAAGTAACATCACGACTCACATTGAGACCAGTAAGTTTTAAATTGTACTCTTTCCGTAATATGATAATATTTTATAGCTGCCAGAGAATAATTCGATAAAATGCATGTACTATTCATCTTCTCTTTAAAACATTCATATTTTTTCTTTGCATGATCAAATTCATTTTGATCTGTTGCTTTATTATACGTGTATACCTATGAATCCCTTCAATTCCTTCCGTCGTTTATAACATAATGCATCTTCTTTGTCGACGTTTTTGCGGTTCAGGTCTTAAAACGGCACGTACTGCCTCGTCAAATACCTGCTTCAGTCCACGCTGCGTGAGCGCAGAACACTCCATATATTTTACTGCACGAATCTATAACAAACATTACATTATTAATATTGAACTATTCTGAATTAAGTATATAAAAAGATAGAAAGATATAAAAAAAATTATATATACACACAGAGTAGGGAACAATTTGTTTCTACATACCTTATTTGCCAACTTCTGTCCTTGCTCACGCTTAATAGCACTAAGGCCCTGTTCAGCTAAGGCAGTAAGCGTTTCACGGTCATCTCGTAAGTCTATTTTAGTTCCAACGAGTATCATTGGTGCATCTGGGCAGTGGTGTTTTATTTCAGGGTACCATTTACTGGTAACATTTTCGAATGATGAAGGGCTCGTTACTGAGAAACAAATGAGAAATACATCTGTCTGAGGATAGGAGAGAGGACGCAATCTGTCATAGTCTTCTTGCCCTGCTGTGTCCCATAGCCCTAAACTAACTGGAATACCATCGACAACCATTGGTGCAGAATAGTTGTCAAACCTATTAAATATAACCCAGATAAAACATTAGAGATTTAACATATATTCAATGTTACATTTTTCAATTTGCTTTTAATTTGTTCATCATTATTTATTAGGTGTCTTACTCAACATTTCAATATCAGTTAAAAATAAAAAGAAATTTTATTCACTGCTTAAATTTTAACTGTAATGAGCCATGTAAACCAATAAAGATATTGCTGAATGAAATAAAGCTCAACAAAAATAAATTTGTCAGAATCTAAAGGACAGGAAATAACCAAAAGATGACTGGAAATGAATTACTTCCTGTACATAGCAGTTAGGTATCTTCTGCTCTGTTACTATTATTAGCCACTTCATTTGATTGGTCTATAAGAAAGAGAAACTAAGGCAAAAACCATACTATAAAGTGTCCCTTTAATAGATTATGTAGAAGCAGAAGATTTCTCAACAGAGAGAACAGACATACAATCTTAATAACAGAGATATACTTACACTGTAGGTACATACTCTCCAGGAAAACTGTCTGTCGTATACGATATCAACATACAGGTCTTTCCTACTGTTCCATCTCCTACCACTACACATTTTATTGGTCTACCTGAGCTCATGATTTATTATCTACAAAAAAATACGTAAACATCATTAGCATCATTACAGAATCTAATTATTGAACAATGTTCAATCTATCATATCATATTTAAATATTTCATTATATTGAGTCCTGAAATGTCACATATGTAACAATATGTTACACTGACATTATTAATAAAATGAGAAATATAAATAGCAATTTCAGTCAGCGATTTTCAAGACGTACACAACACCCATGATTCACAATTAAAAATACAATAAATACATATAATAAATATACAGAGAATCAATACACACGCAGAATACTTAATACGAAATTTCTGTCCTTAATTTACATAATCTATATTCAATAAGAGACGCAAGAGACAAGTGTGGTGGCAATCGCATAAATCCAACGAATAACAAAGCGTTAATTTTTCATTAGGAACCGCCTGCGATGTCTACGAGAATTCACGGTAGGTCTACTTTCACTTTGTCTCGCGTGATCGGAGCACGGATATCCCGGAAGCGGCTCCATATGAGATTTGAGCGCGCTCCTCCGTACCGAAGGGCTCGCCCTAGGAGTCCTAGGATCGCGCCGTTGCACGCGCGCAAGTAAACAAGGCTGGGCCGGCCAGACGAAAATCTGCACTCACCGTGTGGCACGAGGGAAGAGGGTGGGTTTCCGCTTATATCCGTCTAGAAATCGTCGTGCGACGATTGCGGGGGTGCGAGCTTGCGTGCGCGCGGCCGTGCGTTGCGTCTCAAAAAATCACAAAAGCGGGTGCCATGACAGTGTGTCGCGGTTTTTCAGGGGAGTTGGAGTGAAACGGAACCGGCTGACTGGCACACTGTTCGCACCAGCTCGCACAGTGACAGATGTTCGACGGTCGCCTTACACTCCCGTCTCCCGCCGCCCTTCCTACCCCACCTTTCCGCGAAGCTTATTGTTCGGGGAAGTGACAGACCGCAATACTATCCTTGCGAGCGGTGCACATCGCGTCTGCGGAGGTTAAAAACCCGTTCCGAAGAGAGTTCTCGCGAAAGTGCACGGCACGCGTGTACGCAGCGATCGACCAATCGGGCGTGCCAGCACGAGGGACGCATGGAAGAATCGACCAATGACCACGTTCGAGTAAGGGACGAACGATTCCGTGATATTGCCTTGGGCTGCGTTTGTCGAGTTTTCATTCAGTCATTCACTTTTATCTGAATTACGCGAGATTCTTCATGAATGCTATTGGTTTGTTCCTTGCGGTTGAGTTTTTTTTCCCCCCCTCGCCTGTCTCTTCTTATTGCTGCGACAATTCTGGTTCCTTTCGGTTTTGCAGAATCAAGACTATTGATATTTTTGTGAATGATTTTAAAGAGGGATTTTAAGAGAGCCTGGATTAAATATCTATTTCTCCATAGTAAATATTTATTATTCTATTTTCTGTAGGTTTTCTGTGATTTTGGATATATTTGTGTAAGAAATATAATTGTGCAATTACATGATCAGACCTAAGAAACCTCAAGTGAAGAATGATATTCCTGTGGATAGAAAAATAGAAATCGAGAAAAACAAAACTCAAGATATAGAGCGCCTTGGAGAATAAAAGTTTAAATAACGAATAAATTGCAAGAGCGCCAAGTTTCAGACAAAAACACTGATTCATGAACGAATCACAGATATTCTGATAATAATAAGAGTACATTTTTTTCTCTAAAACATAATTGCTGCAACAAATTGAAGGAATCATGAATGTGATGGATATTGTTTATCTTATTTCTTCACGAAATAACACTTTTATCTGGAATGCCGATATTAAATAGCATTATTATATCAATATAAATAAATATATATACAATGAGGCTCAAAAGAATCTATCAGTGAAAAATGTAAAAAAGCCCATTAGAGTCTATATCAGCTATTCGGATGCAAAAATTCTTTATTTTTCGTATGAATAACAAAACAAATAAAATATATATGTTTCAATCCTTCAGTTCGAATCCTTATCAATATAAAATATAAATCAAAATTACATAAATAACGCAAATTCCAAGTTGATGATTCCCAACAAATTAGTTCGTTCTTCTTTATTCAAATGTCAAATTAGCTATGTAATGAATAGCCCAATGATTAACAAAATTATTACATTATACAATAATAATATAAAACTTACATAAAGTAAAACCAAAGTCATATGCATTGCGTCTCTACGTAGAATCACATTTTTTACTGATGTATCAATATACATAATTATCTATTATTATTTATTTAATGTAATATCTGTTTTTATTATAGATTGGTTGAAGCTTCGACGGGATCACAGAATAATCGGCGAATTAGTGGGCTCTTTTCCAAAATTAACTAGACAAGAAATATTTTTAGGTCTCCCATTGCTTTTATTGCCAGAAGAAGTTACTCTATTGCTTGAAAAGAAAATCGCTTGCCTCGTAGAATGCACGAGTCTAAAGACACAACCAGATGAATCATTAAATCAAAGATTTCAGGAGTACAGAGATAAACTGTTTCTGGAGCAAGGAAATTGTCTAAAAAACAACAGAAAGAAACAGGTAGTTATTTGTATAGATATTTACATTTAAAGGACTATAAGGATTTTTTAATAGAATAGTATATGATAAATGTTTCTTTTAGATTACTTCTGTGATGGACAAGATTATAGAAGGAAAAAAACGCAAGATGTTAGGCTTGCATACAAGCAAAAAGAATATGAGAAAACCATTGGATAAGAAAATGCAAGAAGCCTTGAATAATATTGAAATCGATACTGAAAGTTTGCTTGAAGAAGAATTGGCTAAGTTGCCCAAACTGAAAAAAAGTGATGCACTCGTTCAAATACATACAGGTACAAAAAATTTGATCATACATTTAGTAATTTAATCATACATTTGTTCATGACCTGATCATTCACTTGTATGTTAGCATATCCATGGTCTAATAAAGATGATATAAAAATAGTGGAATGGAAATATCCGCTTACATCTGATCAGCAACTTAAGTATAAGGTATATAAAGATCTTTGGGAGAGGCAATATTACATCACCAGTGGAGAAAAATTCGGTGGCGACTTTCTGGTATATCCAGGTACAATTTGTTCCACTATAATTCTAAAGACTGAGATATAATATTGAAAAGCACAGACAATAGGAACAAAGAATAACAGAGTTCAATCTATCCAAAAACATGTATTCTGTTATTTTTAACTGTGCTTGTCTTAGGGTTAACATGCAAACTGCAACTACATTATAAATCTTTTTGTTCACAGGTGATCCAATAATGTTTCATTCACAATATATCATACAATGTAAACGTGCAGACGAAGAGATACCTATTACGGATGTTATTGCTCAGTGCAGACTCAGTTGTCATGTTAGAAAAACATTGGTGTTTGCTACGTATCACGAAGAGGAAGATATAGTGAAATATCAATCTTTTCAGTGGACAGAATGTATTGCATTAGAAGACAGCTGATATAATATTTTATTTAAAAATATTTATATTTTATTATTATTATGGATATTTTCATTGTTTTTTTTTCGAGATGTGATTTTTGTAGATGTCTACATATAATGCATGTTTCATAAAATTGTGAAACGTGCACTACTTACAGATTAAAGAAAAATTAATTCTAATTATATTTCAACTTGGAAACTTCTATTATAAACTGTTAGTAAAGATTAGAATAATCAATTTTATATGATATTCTATCCACATTTATAGTCAACAGCATTACAATATATTTATTAAATATTAAGATTTTAAGACATTCAAAGAACTGTTTTTACATATTTCCTATATATATATATATACATTTAGATTCTGTCTATTAATTTGAATCTATTATGCTGGGAATCAGGAATAATATTAAAGTGTTTCTTATATATAACTTGATTTTTACGATCAGCATAGTTGAGTTTAACCCAAGGGTGATTCCAGTTAAGATCAACTTTCTCACAAGTTACTACCACTTTGCCTGGTTCTATAGCAAATAAAGATCCGTCTCTTGACAAACCAACCTATGTAATAAAAAAATATATAAAATGATACAAAGAAAATTTGTAATGTTAAAAGCATGGTAATTAACGCTTACATTAAGACCTGGATGGAATCTGAGTTTTCGCTGTGTAACCAATAATCTGCCCGAGTATGTGTAACCCCCATCCTGTATTTTCCATCCTCGGTGTTTTGGTCTAGGATGGCCACTCTTGTTGCTGGTGCTAGTACTAGCTTTCTTTGAAGCATGTCTGACACATACTTTCACTAAATAAAAGAAATAATTTTCATTAATCTTAATATGTAGACAAGCAAAATTTTAATAATACAGTTTGTGACAAATTTGATAGATACAAATAAGCATCAATTATGTCCATTCTAAGCTCATTATGAGTTTTTCAATGCAATCTCAACAAAATGCAAGTTGTCTGCAAAAATCAAGCCGAGAATCAGTCATTTTATAAACTGTTCAGATAATATATTTTATTTAAAAAGTAAGAGATGCTTGATTTCTACATTCAAGCAATTATAAGGTGCTAGATATTTGAGCCTTATGTCCACAATACTGGAAATTGCTCTGAGATAATCAGACAGAAAACAAATTAACAAATAATCAGGGTTAAGTAGTGCTAAGTTAAAAAGATAAAAGTTAAGTTAAAAAAAGTTAATTAATTTTAACTTAACTTAGTTACATTTTACACTCTTCACTTTTTAACTTAATTTAGTTACATTTTATCAATAACTATTAACTTTTAATTTGATTTTTTTGAAGTCAATCCTTAGATACAATGCAAGAGGCTAACAAGTATATAATTTAGTAATTTTATATTGTATAATCGTTACTTGTGAACAAAAATAATCAGATTCTTTAATAAATAAGCTATAAGAAAGAAAAAATATGAAAAATTATGTAAAATAGTCAAACTTTTTTTTGTTCGTTTAAACCAAATTTAACTTTTAACTTTTTAATTACTTTTTTTATTAACTTAACTTTTAATTCAATTAATTTTATTATAGATTAACTTATATTTTAATTAAGTTAAGTTTTCAAGACTGTTAACTTTAACTTAACTTAGTTAAAAAAAAAAATTAATTTACCCAACCCTGCATATGATACTTGAACAAACATGTTACCATAAATAATTATATGTTGAAATCACATATAGTAATTATAATACAGTCACATGAGCAATGTGATTAATCAATTCTTTCTCAGTCTGAGACGTCACAGACAGATTCCTAGCATCATAGATACAAGATTTTAAATAACAAAGAGAAACATCAACTTTCTTGGCATTCAGTATATAAAGATAAAATCAATGAATAATAAAGATAAAATGACATTTGTATCAACTTCTATCACCAAATAGAAAATATCCTTGTTCTGTTAACAAATTTTTTCCATATTTATAATTATTTTTCTGCTGATGTATTCTGCCAACAAAATTTACAATAGACACATTGCAAAATTTGTTTTCGACATATTTGATTAGCCGAGTACATATTCAATTTTGCCATAAGATTACATTAATAAAGTAATATTGACATACAGACCCAAGTTATTACAAAATACTAGAGTTTGTCGGGCGTTTTGTAATCCAAGAGAAACCAATTGTGATAGGTGTGCCATCTAAAAAAGATCTTGCGTTTACTTTTGATTCTTGAAAATAGTCTTAAAAATATTATATATTATCACATTACGTTTATATTAGAATGATGAACTAACCTCAAAATTTTGCCGAATCGGAAAATCTACTGGACAAAAATCCTAAATTCAGAAATACCAATTATTGAAAAGTAAACTTTCTATCATCACATGTTACGGCACGTCACACATCAATGAACACCAGTGCATGGCGCAACCAATTAGCTCTTTTCTCCATTTCACTCCATTTGCGGACACTCTATTTGCCGCAGGTGGATCTTTCTCCAACTGTTTCCTCATTTCCATGAAATATTCCTAGAGGATGATTCGACCTGATTCGATTATCATTAGTTGTCAGTGTCACTATGTTGTCATTGTACGGATATTTGAGATCTTCTTGAGATCCAGAGTTCCAATAATTGGTTGATATTAAGCACAATTATCGAAAATGACGACAAACGTGGAAGATTTGCAGAAGCTGGAGGAAGAGGCGGTTGCCAGGGGCACGAAGTACGTTGCGAACCTCCTGCAGCGGCCAGGCCAGCTGGAGAAGATTGACATGTACAAACGGCGAATCGCCAGGAAGAAGGCCTCCGTCGAGACCATGCTGAAAACCGCGATGCAAAGTCAATTGGACGGAGTCAGGGTCGGCTTCGAGCAGCTGCAGAGCTCCTTGGAAGCTATCGCCACTACCAAGGATGACCTGGACCATATTAACCAATTATTCAGCTCAGTTCTGAAACTCAGCTCCAGGCTACAGGCAGTGCAGGAGGAGAACATGCGTTATTCTCAATACGTCATTGCGAAGGAAAATCTGAAGCATATATTCACTGTCCCCGAGAGCGTGGAGAAGACAAAACAATGGATAAACGAAGGTAAGCTGTTGCATGCGCATCAGAGTTTGATGGATCTCGAAACTTCCAGGGACGAATTGTTGTATGAGCTTCACAAATTGCCGAATCAATCACCAGCCGACACGGTTATGCTAAAGGCTTATTTCGAGGATGTGGAAATGCTTTCACAGCTTATGGAGAAGCAAATAAGACTGGTGCTAGGTCGTACTTTGAACACCGTCAGGAAGGAATCTACTGTCATAGTGACACCTTTGAGAATTATAGAGAGGGAGGAAAAAGCAGATCAATTTGCTATTCAAAGGCACAAGCAGAGTGGATTTATGGCACCAGGTAGACCCAAGAAATGGAAGGAGATGGCAATGAAGGTGTTGGAAAAGTTGGTTGCCAACAGAATCGAGGGAACTCAGGTGGAGGAAAGGGCTGACAACAAAATGTGGCTTGTGAGGTATCTGGAACTTACGAGACTTCTGATTCTTGAGGATTTGAGTGTGGTTAAAACTCTATGTGAACCTTGCTTTCCACCCTCATATAATATAGTAAGGACTTTTGTTAAAATGTATCATACGAGTCTGTCCCAGCACTTAAAGGACATAATTGCCAGTGGACTGGAAGGAAACGAATATGTTTCTCTATTAGCATGGATTATGAATACTTATACAGGGTCAGAGTTGATGCAACATCCTGAATTAAACATTGATACGTCTGATATAGGTCCACTGCTTAGTCCTGAGATGATAAACGATCTTCAGGAAAAGTATTTGCGAAATATGTGTCAGAATTATGAGGATTGGATGAGAAAAACGCTGGAAACAGAGAAGCTTGATTGGAGGAGTGGTATCCTGCCTGACAGCAGCACCCAGGAACTATATTACCATACCGCTGCTCCAGTTATCATATTCCAAATGATCGATCAAAATCTTCAAGTTGCAAAAACCATTAGCTCTGACTTGACGGCGCAAGCCTTGATTCTGTGTATTGAGCAGGTGATCAAATATGGATCTATGTATAGACAAGCAATACTAGAATTTAAAACGAAGCATTTTGAAGACAGAAGCCAAGTACCTTACTTCACTCATCATATGATCACGATAGTTAATAATTGCATACAGTTTACCGAGTTGGCGCAGCAGATGAAGCAGCTTTACTGGGTGCCCAATACTACCGGTGACATTACAGTAAAAGTCGAGAGTCTCTTGACGAATTATCAATACTTAAGAAACGAAGCCGCAGCTATTCTACTGCAAGAATCTTTCCTGGATCTGGAGTTGCACTTCCAGGATTTAATCACGCCTAAGTGGCTATCGTCGCCCATCCCAGTGGAGACCATCTGCGTCACTTTGGAGGATTACTTTCAGGATTACAATCATCTGAGCCCCAAGAACTTCGAGTATGTCATCACTGAGGCGCAGAATCTCATCGCGAAACGTTATATATCCGCGATGTTACAAAGGAAGATCTCCCTAAAGACCTACGACGAGTGTCTAACATGCACATCAAAGATAATGACAGAGGCGGACAAACTGAAAAACTTCTTCGATAGAATTGCGCCAAAGGTCGGAAACTTCAATTCGCCATTTGAGATAATAAAACGTCTCGCTGAAGTGCTGAGGTGCGAGGACGCAGAGATACTCTCTCTCGATTTACACTCATTGGTCGAGAAGTATCCTGACATGACGGAGGATCATCTCATCAGATTGCTTGGCCTGAGGGGCGACATATCGCGAGCGGAAGCTCGAGGAAAGGTCTCGTACATCATGGAGGCTCAACGAAATCGGAAGCCCGTACAATCTATAACAAATAGCATATTCAAGCAGATAGTTATACAGGACAGCTTCCTTGGCTGGAAGCCTTGAGATTGGAAGAATCTGTATGAGGCAAAAATATGGAACACAAACGGTTCTTCTATGTAGGGCCACGCCGTTCTTGTAAATCAAATGTCTTCTTTTATTCAATAGCGAATGATGTAATATAATGCTGTAATATAAGTATTTTAATTTATCGAGTGAATAATTAATCACACTATGTGCAAATGTAAACTTTCCTCTGTAAAAGCTATATTTGTGCATAATACAATTGATCAATAGATAAATTAAAAAACCAATATTTGTACAAATTTGTTGACATTTAATTATATATAGTTAATTATGCGATTTATACATATAAAAATTCAACACTTTATTTATATAAAATATTTATGTAAGAGTATAACCTGATCGAAATTAAATTGTATAATATTCATTGGTCATTATATATATGAATATAATATGTACAATATACATGAAATATGAAAAGTTTTTAAATTTAAAAATGTATTACTCTAGTATATTAGCCACAATTTGCCAGCAATTTTCTTTTCTGCTAACCTAAAACCATTACATTCAACGATTCATTCCTATAAAATTATTCTGAGATCGCATGCAAAGATATAAATCTATCAAAAGTAATTTCGTGATATTGTTTAATTATTTTAATAATTTATAGTTTTCTTATTTAGCACTGTATAAAAGTATGTAATAAATTATTGAATTTCAAGGAATTTCGTAGAAATATGAAAATAAATAGAAATTGTATTCAATATCACATGAACAAATTTTTGTGATTTATGACTAATGGCTTATTGTAGAATAGTCATAACGTATAAAACATAAAGCATAAGAACTTCAACCAATCAGAGTCCTTTATTTCATGGGAAGGAAGGAAATAAAGGACTTCGATTGGTTTATTTTCTTATGCATTATGTGTTATGCGTTATGTAAGAGTCTGTGCTCTCCGTCTTACACGCATTCTACAATAAGCCATTAGTTATAAATCAGAAGTTAGAAGCTGGAAATTGACCAATGACAGTCGTCAATTTCCAACTTTTAACTTCTGATTTATGACTAATTATGGTTTATTATAGAATGTTACGTTTGGGAGAACTATTGGAAGTTTCCTTCGCGTTAATTGGATTATACTTTTAGATCTAGAGGAATAATCCTATCTCATCGAAGAGAACTTTTGATAGTTGCAAAACAATAATTCAAACAGTTGTTTACATTTAGGACTTTAGGTAAGTAATAAGTTCGAAAGAAATAAGCTGCGATGATATAATGAATCATTGTATTAAGACCTGTCTTTGTACATATGGATAATTAAAATGTCAATTTTACAGGAAAATATGATCATAACCTTTTCTCAGTAAAAAAATTCTTGTATCTCATTTTCAAAAATTTTTCAAATTTTAAATTATGAAGATTTCTAAAAAATACTTTAAACTTTTCCAGATTTCATAAGTGTTCTTCGGAAATTATATAGAATAAGAAATCGTAGAATATTTCAGAATTCACACAATATATAAAGAATTCCAGACAAAAAATTAGATTTTTTTCAGCACTTGAAAAAAATATCAATTTGTATAAATATTTTGGAAAAATCTATAAATTTTTAAATTATACAGAAATTCTAAAAAATTTTGAAGTGTATATAAAAATTCCTAAATATATGGAGAATTCTAAAATTGTCATCAATTAAGTTGTGAACACTTTTAGAAAAAAAACGAATTATCAATTTTTTTTCAGTAACAAAGACACTGTGTTAACTAAGGCAACAGAATATACATTACTGTGTTTGCTTAAATATTTGCAACAAGTATGAAGCTGGCAACATTCTTAGTGTTGCTTATATGTACGGGAGCAAGAAACGCTGACATAGATCCATTGAAAACAATTATTTGGGGCCCAGGACTGAAACCAGTAGAAGTTACCATGCGTGCAAGATATTTCTTTTTGCAACTGGTCGATTCGCATGGAAGAAAGTTAGTAGTATTGTCAAGCAATTTTATAAATCGATAATGAAATAAGAATATTCAAGATTTATGAAAATGATGGACAGTATTTATTGAAAAAAAAGGAGAGAAAGGAGGAATTACTTTTATATAATATTCTGAGATTTATACTATATATATATATATATATATATATAGTATAAATCTCTCTCT